GGGCCGTTAAAGACAAGGTTACGTACAGAGTGCTTCTAATTTTGCGATGCAAGAACGTTGGAATTATGAAGTCTACAAGAAGTGGCAGCTGGTGACCACCGAAAAGTGACCAGCCTAACAAGTACGCATGAAAAGCAGGAAGTTAACAGATCATCCGGTCAGTTAGTTCAACTATGAGACGAAGAGTCCGACAGACGGCACGTGTCAACAACGTATCCGCAGGTGATAACGGAAGGATAGGAGCTGATGTCAGATTCCGACCTATCACTAATCTTAGGTGCACATGAAATGCCGAAGCTTACTATAAAGTGTCCCCCTGTAATGACCAGAACGACAGTCAGATAAATGACTGAACGACGACCGATGACGGAAGATTCGCGCTTCATGTCAAAGTAGCAAAAGCATGCGCTGAACGAAGGCGGTGCCTATTTTGCGAAAAAGTGGGGCGACCGAAAGCGGTTGGCTGAACACTTGTAGCAAGAAAGAAATAATTGTTGAAAACGTAAATAAAAAACAACGATGGAGGGAATAATGTTTACTGTCGGTTGTTCATTGCTGTTAAGGAAAAGAAATATAAAGAAAGTTAAAATTTGTGTTATTTTTAATGGCGGACGTAGTAGAGAGCGTAGGAAAGAAGGGCGCGTGTGTCAATAATCGTTGAGTGATAGCGAAATTCGTAGTGTGCATTCATTTAATTGGTGTGTTGTGTGTCGTGGTGCGTTGTGTCGGATGGTACGCTTCGTAAAGTTGCCGAACTGGTGTCCGACCATACCGATGGACATACGGTGTTGACCAGCGGTCGATGAACGTCCCCCTGAAGCTATTGTCATCTTCGACTCGTCGGCGTGTTGTTCGTTGTTCACCGCCTAGGTCCGTGATCGTCATCGCCGCCGCCGTCGTCGTCGTCGTCGCTGCCGCCTACAACAGCAGCAATAGAAGAAGTCTCAGGCGCCAATGGAGGTAGTCGATCATTATGCGACGGCGGAGGCACGTGAGGACACGACCCCGTTGTCCCTGGTGAAAGCCGCTGCTTGTAACGGGGGTTTGAGCGCAAAGGTGATCGGTTCCGAGAATTCACACAGCTTGATGATCGTCGTCGATCCTCCTCAAGGCGATGCCATTGAACGTCGCACCGAGTCCCCGACAACCCTCGTTCTACGGCGATCCCCTTCCTTCGTTTCGTCATCACCACCGCCGCCGCCGCCGTCGCCCATCGTCGCCGCCGTTGCCGCCGCCGCCGCCGCCGCCGCCGCCGCCGCTGGCGACCAGCAGCCGTCAGCACAACTGCAGCAGCAGCAGCCGGTGGCGGCGCCCCTGGAAGACATCATTGATGGATTTTCGTTCCTTAGTTTCACTTCGCTAGAAGAACTGATGGTAAGTGTTTGTTCAGAAAGTGGAAGTCGACCAATTGCTGTTTCCTCCACCATCGAGTGGTTAAACTTGTCGTCCCATTGCCCCCCCGGGCTTCCCCCTTTGCCTTTCCTCCATCCGTCTGTAGTTCGTGTCGAATCTGTTGTATTCTGTTGTTTTTTACGCTCCTTTTACGCGCGCTACGACCTACCAACCGACCGAATGTCGTTGTCGTCGGTCGTGCGAGTGCGTCTGTCTCATTGTGTCGCCCCTGCTCGCGCCGAGGTCGCCGAAACTGACGATCTTCTGCCAGCGACCAAATTCTTTTCGAGGAACCACAAGCTGAGGCAGCGCAGGAAGCCGCAGCCGCCGTCGACGCCATGCCTAACCTTTGTCAACAAAGGACAATGGCCAATGGACTGAGGTCGAGACCGTTAAGCGTTGATTCCCTTACGTTCAGCAGTTTTCAAAACCAGCCGAGCTGTTAGCTTGTTTGGTTTGCGGGTACACCGCGTTGGCTCTTAGGATAACGAAATCGAAAAACCATCTGCTTTATAGGAAGAGAATCAATCCTCCTCGATCAGATAGTCGAAATATCACATTGTCAGCTAGTGCAAAGCGAGGAAGTTCAGAAAACAACTGGCAGTGTAAAATGCATTGGAGAACTGAACGTACAGTAGCTGTCTTCGTACGAAACACGATGATAAAAATGAGACAGCAGTTTGGTCAGAAAACTTATGTAAAAATCATGATTTTACCATTCGAATGGCGTTATCCATGAGCACCATTTTCGGCGTATAAAGAGGCATCATCACCTTTCGATTTTAATTTCGTACCTTAGAACGAAATTACGATATGAATATGTCTAATCATCAGTCCAGTCTGCTGTTATAGTTGAAGAAGTACTTATAATCACCAGCTCATAAAAACGGAAAATCTTTTTTACGTGAAAACTGAGTTCAAAGTTGAAAAAGTCCATCGAATGACATCATAAAAATTTTTTATACATGTATATTTACCAACGTTTCATATCATGCTTGATCGGTCTTCAGCGAGCGATGATGTAAAGCAGAATGTTACAGCATATACTACATATTTTATTGTAACATTCCACTTTACATTGTCTCTCTGAAAGCAGATATGTTAGAATAGGTCCTGTATCGATTTTGGTACCCTCCCCGCACTTTATCATGACGTGTTCGGTGCTGTTCTGTTTTTTCAAGACCACGATGTTTTATATAACAGCCGTAAGCCACGCGAGGCAATCGAACGGATAATCGGTTTGAGATTCCAGATCACTGTTTTTAAGGTTCTAAAACATACTGGTGGACGGAACGTAACGTAAAGAGTTAAGGTCTGTAAAATTTTGTGAGAAAAAAAATTTGAAATGGATCATTGAATTTTACGACTGTTTATTGGACTAGTTATTTTCTCCAAGCTTGGACTAACTGTTTGTAAAATAACTGCGCAAAGATCGGTAGTCCTGATCGAAACTAAAAAATTACTAAACTGTTTGCGCCTCGAAAGCGCAACACCGGTGGAATGTTGCACAACAGTGGGTAACTTTTTAAAATATCCAGACACCAGCGACATATTTACAGTAATTTACCAAAGGCAAAGGCCGAAATATTAGTTGTTACCGTCAGAAATTATGCGGAAGAAGGCATCATAATTTTTTTCCATGTTGTTATCATTTATTAAACCCAGGTTTTAGCACCTTCGTGTAACTCACAAGTTAGATAAGCGATTAATAAGTAAGATAATAAGAAACAATCAGGAACTCACAGTCACTGATTCACTTGAAAATGTAAATATTTCTGGCGGAAAAGAATGAAAGAAATTGTTAATTTAATGCCACTCTATAATATACAGGAAAAATATATATGTAAATACATATTTTATGTTAAATCAACCTTCATTTTGGGTTCGAAAAGCGACAAGGACAAAGAAATCTCATATCGTCACAGAAGGGAACGGATGCGTTGAACATTACCTGATATAAGGACGGTAAAAC